AACACTGCTCATCAGGTTACAATTGAAGCTATAGATTTGTACAGTAAAGGAGAATGGCTTAGTTGGAACTTGTTTAATAAAAGATTTAAAGATGGAAATTAAATTACTGTCAATATAAGGTTAGGGGGAAAACACTTAAGCTAAGTTGATGGCTCTGATGAGAACACGGGTCTGGTTGGTAAGACTAATGATATTGCTATGGTTGACTTTTTAAATCCTTTGACTCACTATTTACGCTCCATTTTGATGGAACAAACTAGGGCAGTAAAATTCAGCATGACATATATTGAATGGATTAATAGTAGTTCATTAAAAGTTTAAAAATGTAAATTAATCAGGGAATCAGTGCTGAGTGGATGGTTCTAATAGGGACCTGCAGAAATCAGCTTTTGGTTCTCTACTGTTTATTATTTACATCAGTGACATGAAAGACAATAGCAAATGATCGCTGCTAAAATTGTCAGATGAAATAAAGATTGGGGAAGGGACTGGATAACAAGAGGGGCAGACTATTGATTCACAGTGACCTTAATCACTTAGTAAGCCAAGCTCGAGCCAACAGTATATATTTTAATGAATAGCCAAGTGTGATGATATTTCTCTAGGAATAATGTAGGTACAGGATGGGGAGCTCATTCCTAAGAAGTGACTCCAAAAAGCACTAGTGGGTCATGGTAGAAAAGTGGTAGAAGTGGAGCCGCTGTTGGAAAGCTGCAGCCAAAGATCTATTGCTGTCCTAGCATTTATTCATAGAAGAAAATGGTGTAGGAGGATTATGTTACCTCGGTTTTTGGGTCTGATATATGCCTCACTGCAACTCTGTGTCCATTGTCTAAAAATTCAAGAATGCTGAAAAATTAGAGAAGTTTCAAAGAAGAGCCACAAGAATAATTATGAGCATGGAAAGTATACCTTATAGCGGAAGATTCAGGAAGCCGTTTGTTTTTTCAAGGAGATGTTGAAGGGATGATTTGATCATAGTCTGTCAATGTTTGCATGTCTCAGACCTCTGTCTGATATATGGAAAAGGGAAGTGATACCATTGGAAGGCATAGACTGAATCATCTTAATACTCACATAGAGAACGATTGCAGAAAGGGAAGGGAGGACTTTAATGTTAAGCAAGTGAATTCCACATGGAAGTCCGTTCTAGACCTGCCTTTGTCATGGTCTTCCTATGTGATGTTAAACAGAGGGTTGGCAGATAGCCTATAAATGTGTTTTTCTTTTTTTAATCTGTAATTGTTGCAAGTGATTTTGTTATAAATTGCACATTTGGTGGCCTGTAAATGGAAAAGAAGTAGGAATTTAAGGTAAATCAGGCTTTAGATCCCATGACCAAGTAAGCACTAAGAAACTATCTTCCACCCCTTCTTTGTAAGAATAATAATAATAAAAAATAGAATGGAAAACATGAGGAATTGCTGTTAATAGCTCTTCACATGTAAATACATGGTTGGCAGAACCTGACTAAAATAACCTTAGGGCAAAGAGCCAGACTTATTGTGCAGCTTACGTACGTAGATTTTGTAACCATAAGCCAATGTTAAAACATTGAAAACAGGATTTTGAAGTGTGTAATGGAAAGATTTAAAGTATGCTTGCTTTGCTTTCCTCTACCCTGGGAATTTGGAAAAAAAAAAGTTTCACTGAGGAGGAAAAAAAAAAAAGAGTTACCCTGTGTTTGTTTTGGTTTTTAAGGTTCTGTTAAGCAGCAGAAATAGCACCTAGGTACTTCTCCAAATGTCAAATCCTACAGGAAGAAAAATATATCAAAAAGTATTTAGGAAAGAAACTATATTAGTCATGAGTGATGCTGAAAACATCATTTCTTTCACCGTCAAGATGTCAGGTTTTAACTTGCTTCGTTGCTTGCTACGCTTTCAAGAGCAAGCATGATGCAGAAACAGTCAGTGTTTAAAAGAAGTTGGTAACAGCTCTCAGGTTATCTGAGAAATAAATCCAGATGGTAATCAATGTTATACCCTAAGAAGTCAATAGGTCCCTGCTCTTATGAAGGCAATTGTTCAGGCATGATAGTTTCCAGAGTTTAGTATCATATGTACAGTAAATTATTTAGGCATGTACAGTTTTATAAGAAAGCTGGAGTAGTACCAGAAGTAAAGTACAGGCAACATATGCTGAATTTTTTTGCTCTTAAGAGCAAGCTGGAAAACAAGAAATTAATTTGATAAACTTAAAATATTAACATTTAATATGGAAATAATTTAATTGACATCACTTTGATTTCCACACCAAAGTTTTGATTAGAAATGTCAAATTGGGAGTTGTGTTCCTAGTCATTTCTGAGGTGATAGTTCAGGTCATGGTGTACCTGGGAAGCTTTGCTACCTTTGCAGAGGTGATAGATTTAGAGAAACATTAAAACCTAGTCCCTCCTGCCCAGCTCCATAGTGAGCTGAGGAAGGCTGAAGCCAGTTTTTTGGGAGAAAAACGAGAGGGAATTCTTACATGTTTATTAATTATTTACTCTTTGAGTAAATCCGATTCTGATGTCTCAGGGTATAGCTGTAGTGCCAAGTACATAACGGCTGTTGCACACATAGAGTAACCACGCTCACTGTTCTGAAACCACTATCGGTGCTGCTCGTTTGTTTTGCAGAAGATGAATAACCTTTCCATGAAGGGTAAAAAATCCTAATGTAGTGTTGCTTTCTGTAAAAACATAGATCAACAGACTAAACTGCTGGAAAAGAGGAATTCCCACTCATTTTTAGTTTGTGCTGACTTCATTGCATTAGCAGCAGTGCTTTCCCTAGGGGCTATTTTCTTTCTTATGTTTCTTGAGATCTTTCCTCAAGACCTAAGAATGGCTTATTTCCTCTCTGGCAGCTAAAGCAAGTAGCTTTCCTTTCAGTCTGAACTGAGAGTCAAGGGTGAGGAGGATTTGTCGGTAGCCTGTTTCTAGAGGTAAATAGCTGCAGAACAATGAGGGCCCCTTTTCCTAGGCTTGTATTTCAGTTTGTTTGGACCTTCTCTTTTTGTCAGTCAGTGGTGTGGTCAGCAGGCTCTTTAGCCTGAGACCCCAAAACTCTGCTTCCACCTACGTCCTTTCCTATCTCTGTTTTAGCAACATCAGCTATCACAGAATCACAGAATCGTTTAGGTTGGAAGGGACCTCTGGAGATCATCTAGTCCAGCCTCCCTGCTCAAGCAGGGTCACCTAGAGCATATTGCCCAGGATCACGTCCAGACGGGTTTTGAATATCTCCAGGGAAGGAGACTCCACTACCTCTCTGGGCAACCTGTTCCAATGCTCTGTCACCCTCCCAGTGAAGAAGTTTTTTCTCAGGTTCAGATGGAACTTCCTGTGGTTCAGTTTCTGCCCGTTGCCTCTTGTCCTGTTGCTGGGCACCACGGAGAAGAGACTGGCCTCGTCCTCTTGACACTCCCCCTTCAGATACTTATACACGTTGATCAGATCGCCTCTCAGTCTTCTCTTCTCCAGGCTGAACAGGCCCAGCTCTCGCAGTCTTTCTTCATAGGCGAGCTGCTCCAGTCCCCTAATCATCTTTGTAGCCCTATACAAGCTATACTCTTGTATCTCTCTACTCAAGCTTCTGCAGGAAACAAAAAAGTCTTGGAGAGACAGAGACTTGGAATTTCTTGTTTTTCTTGGCATTTCATGGCAATGCCATATTCTTATTAAAAAAAAAGTTAAAAAGTACCTGGGATACTTGCCTTTCTTTTGTTCTGAAATACTTATTTCCGCTCTCATCTGAGATGCAACTTCCAAATCTCACTGTAGTCTTTGGTGCAGGTGTCTTGGAGGACTGATTACACTATAGCTGTCTGTTGTCAGCTGAAGACTGTGCAATGTAATTTAAATAGTTACTTTATTTTATTCTGTCACACTTTTCCAGCTGTGTATTTTTCTTATCTGAATGTACCAGTGTTTGTTTATAAATCATCTGCAAAGGAGGCTAAATTACTATACCTGACAAGAGCCAAGTCATCATGAGCATGGTGATGTGCAGTGTGCACCAGGCTTGTGTAGAGCAAAATTTGTAAATGTGATTGCTTTTCTTAACAGAATTCTTGACCTTACTCAGCAATTTCTTCTATTTTTTAAATTTTATTTCTATTTTCAGCATTCTTGGTCAATATACTGTCCTGAGATTAGACATTTGTTCTTGTAAGAAAAGAATAGTCTGTTTCTTACTTACGGAGAGGCAACTTTTAAGTGCTCTGGCAACGCAGAAGACCTTTAAAGCAGGCATGCATTTAATTCTCCTCATTTTAAGGCCTTTTTAGGTGCCAACGTAGAATAGAGAAGTTTTATTTTAATGGAGAATTTCCAAGGACATAAAAAAAAATCTGTACATGAGTTAGGTCAAATTAAGACCTTTATCTGTTTTCTGTTTTACAATGTGCTTAAAGGATTCAGAATGAGATAATTTCTGTCTGTAGATGACAATTCACATGAAGCAAGGACCTATGTAATCTATAGGTGGGACCAACGTCAGGGTGCTTGCTCCACTGCTCCAGCCATGGAAATTCCAAGGGATATGAGTTTAGAAGAAGCCCTGAGCAAGTCATCATAGCAGTGGCATGCTTTGCTGTCCCTCTCCCTGAATGTGCATAAGCAACCTGAGTCTGGCCTTCAACTTTAAAAAGTTCAAAAAAATTTAGTTCACAACAAAGTACCACAGAATCCAGTATGTTGATGTGTGGTTAATGGCTTTCAGTGCCATGCTTTTGTGTGAGAAGGTTTTACTTGTTTCCTGATTTAAAGAATTTGTTGAGGAATTAGTAACTGTAAAGTTAGAGATACAGGTGTGTAGTAGGTGTAATATATAGTATATTGTTTAATATCCAGATTAGCAGTCTAAATCAAATAATTGCCTATTGCTTTGATTGTAGAGAGGAAGACGCAAACATTATGCTGTTATTATTGGAATCTACTGCTAAATAGTTTAAAGTGTTGGTGAAATGATACCTAACTATTATCTACATTACTCTGTTTAGACACACATTGATTTAATTTTCTTTTAAGGCTTAATGAAGAAGCTGGAGGAGGAGATAAAGTTCAATTCATATCTGGCTACTGAAAAAATACCTAGAGAGCTTGAAAGTAAGAAGAAATCATTGTATTTCTTACAAAAGGTGGTTACAGAGCCGGCTATGAGCCAGTCTGATCTCAATGTACTTGAAATCAAGGTAAGTTGACCAAAGTCACACCTAATTTGTGTTCCCTAACATGCTAGAGAATTCTTCTATGTTGTAATTCTCTTATCTCTACTTTCCTTTGGGAACTGAACACATTTTCTCAAGGATGTAAATTCTCTTCAGTTGTAAAAGAAAAGAAGATGTGTTATTCACTAAATGCAAGCTCTTAGCTCTTTAAAAAAAAAAAAAAAACTATCCTCAAATGCTATTTAGAAAATTTTGTTAGCAATTTGCTATGGAATGAACAGAGATGTTAATTTAGCGCTGGAGGTTTGGTTTTTGTTCTCTTCAGTTTTACCTTGTTTTAAACTCTTACTGACATCAGGGAGTTTATATCAACATATAGAGAAGGTTTATGTGGTGGAGAACAAACTTCTCTGAATGGTGTATCTCAGCAATAGTCGTCTTAATCAACGTGTGATGGCTGAGAACTCCTTTGTGTGGAATAGTCCTGTATCACTGATGTTTTAGTTGGTAAGAACAAAGCAGATTTGGAGATCAAATACTTGATTTATTTTTCCATGTTTTTTTCAGATATTAAAAGCTAATTCTGTTAGAATGAGCAAAATCCTTAATGATAATATATATCCTAGTTGTGTAGGTAAATCTAGACCTAAAAATTTAATAATTATGCTACTGAGCAAGTTTAGGATCTGATAGACTTGTTTATAGCAAAACATAATTTATAATTGACCAAATGTGTGCAGTAATTTGTTGCCACAGAAATACATTTGTATATTTTATTCAGTGAAGTTTACATATTTGCATCATCCTAAATAAAAGATTAAGTACGTAATATTAGGTTTTAGAGGAGTTTAGAGGAGCGCTATTTATTAGTATTTCTGCTATTTGTGATGAAAGTTTATAAATAAGTTAGCTAGAGCCGGAAGAACAGTTTTGTATACCACTGTGTACGCTGTTCAGTCTAAATGTCCTTTTTCCCTTCCCAGCTGTTTTTTTATATTCCCAAGATCTCCATCCATTAGTTTGCTGTGAAAGGTAGATAATGAAGAAACAGAGCTTTTGTGATAAATCAGAGAATGATTTACCCATGGGGCTGTTAGGGCTGTCATCCCCATTCTTCTTGTGTCTCGACAGCAGAGAGAGGTTCAGCATCTACATCAACAAGCTGGTAGCCTGAGCGTTCACTCTCCTAGTGCATGTCAAATTATCGTAATAAAGAAATGGCTGCAGATTTTCTGGATGTTCCTAGACAAGCATTGGCAGTCAAGTGCCAGCAAGAATATGTTCAAATTTAAGGTTAAATCTTTTTATCCTAAAAGTAAAATCGGTGACAGCCCAATGCCCTTCTGGGTCTTGATCATTACATTTTTAAGGATCACAGCATTATTAAACTGTAGATTAGACCTGAAACATTAGGCTAGCTCTGTAATCCAACCTCTGCCTTCCCAACGTATTTCTTCTAATCACAACAATATCTGTGATTGCAGTCGTTTCTTTTAGACATAGCTGAAGCCCTGTTTTGCGCCTTTCTTTTCCAAGTGTTATCGTTGGGTTGTGGCAATATTTTAAAGATCATCAAGTTCTTTTTGTCCCTATGAGGTTCCCTTTTAATTTGTTACATTTTGGAAGAGCTGAGTTGCTCTAAGCAAGCTACTGTCATGCATTTTATAATATATAAAACAGGAATATTCACAGAAGGGAATCCATAAACCATCTTCAGATTCAGACCTGTTCTACCACTAATAGCTTTGGTAAAAGAAGAGAATTTATTAGATTTTTTTCATGTATTGCAGTGTTCTTGTATTTGAGATATTTAGCTTTCAAAGTACACAGATATTACTGGCAGAAATATTAAGGTAATTCCCAGCACTGTCCCTTCATTATGTTTTAAATTCATTGGATTTCAGCACATATTTACACTACTTGCTTATCAGCACTCATCTAGCTAGCAGAGAATTAAAGGAAGGTTCATTTCCATGGCTGGTAAGAGTCCCAGTGTACCATTAAGTAAGAATTGGGAAAGCTGGAAGCAGTACACTGGTACAGCTGTTTATTAGTTTCCAGATGCAGCAGGCTCCAAAGCTTCATCTAGAATGAAGATCAAGAATTTGAGACTATGGGCAAACAGCTGCATTTTGTGGCAGTAGAAAGAATGTACCACAGAGCTGGAATATGATGGTCTGGGAATCTTCAAAACATTGATGAAATTTGCTGTCATGTAGTCCTAATCTGCTCCTCTTAAGCTTGTGATAAATGGTCGAGTGAAAAAGAATTTTAGCAAATATTGGTAAAATTACATTTTCACATAATATATGGCAACATCACTCTCTTTTTCTAACTGTGTGTGCCAATTCACAGGCATTTTCTGTCTGTTTGCACCAACTCACTTCCTTTTCAGGGCCAACGTTGTGCTTCTGCAGGTCTTATCATAAGGGCGCAGAACTGGAAATCCAAAAGCATAGCCTCTTCCTGGACAATACTGAATGACTCATTGAGTGTTTTGGGTTTGTTTCTCTGTTTTAAAAATGGAACTAGTAATATTTCCTTATAGTTGCATTGTAAATTTGGTTTGCAAAGCATTTGATTTTCTTGGAGAAGACAAAGAAATAAGGCTTTCTTTCCTTAGTTTTCTACTCTCTCTTCCAGATAAATGAAGTAAATGCTCAAATCAATCAGCTTATTGAGAAGAGAATGATGAAGTATGAGCCGATTGATAGTAAATTTTCCATGTATCGTCAACAGGTAAGAAGGAACAAAACATTTTTTAAGCAGAATCAGTAAAGCAATTTCAGTCTTTGAGTGTTTTACTTACTATTTTTTCTTTATTTATCATAAATCAGTATATATAAATAATAATGGTATACAAAAACCTAAATAAATAGCACTTGAATATATGTATGCTTAGGGCTCAGGCAATGGCTTTCAGTGGTGTTAATGACTTTGTATTACTTGTTGCCCTTAAGCTGTTAGATGTTGTCCTTCAGCTACATCACAGTAATTTTGGAAGGGTTGTTCTGGAGGAGCTATTCTGGAAAAGCTCCAGCTGCGGACAGATTCTTAAAAGACAGTATGTGGGCTGACTGCTGCAGTCAGACCTAGATGCAAGGCTCACTTTCAGTTATATCACTCGCTTGTGTTTGACCACATGCTATTTTCCTGTTACACCTGTTAAGAAGGTATTCTTTGCTTTTCATCTTAAGGCTATAAAATAGTCTCTTTATAAAATAGGCTGTCTAGTCTAGTCTTAATAAATTCACAAGTTATAAAAAGGATTTATGAAATCTGAGATTTTCAGAGCTTACACAGAAACAGAAGTGATTTTTTTCCAGCGACCCATATATCTGTTAATTTTATGGAAGCTTCTTGTGATAACGTTTATCGTTACAGTTAGGGAAAAAAAAGGTTTAGGTAAGATGTATCAGTAGGAGGAAAAAATGTGATAAAATGTATACTACAGTTCAATTGCAAATGCAGTATGAAACACACAATTTTGTTTTGTAAGAGATGCACTTCTTCCCTAAAGACTAACCTGCTACATAATGTGCTGGTACAAAAGACCGACTGGCTTATGATATAGTTGTGATGTTCCGTGGAGGAACCGCTCCAGGAATTCAGGTTTCCTTTGTGAGTTGAAAACATATGGTGATCTTTGCTTTGTTCTACTAGAGACTGGCTTCTGTTTCACAAAATAATCATATATATTGTACCACAGTTTGTCACTGCAGATAACTCACAAAGCAAAGAGCTGAGATGCTACCTTAGGCAGAATTCTCTGTTAGATATATTTTTAGAAATAAAGCAGGTCCTTTTAACCTAGTGCGAGAAAGCTGTTGTGTAGTTTGCTTCATTTTTTTTCAAGTTTTTCCTCTCATACAAAGAAACTAACTATGTGTCTAAATTCATGTATTATGTTATTTTAAAATATTTTTAAATAGTATATTTCGGGAAGAGGATAATGTTTATTTTTTTTTCTGAACTAATTTAGACTTATGTTCCTAGATCCATTCCTCTCCTGGTCAAATGTTAGGCACTATTAAATATTCTACCTGCTTTAAAATATTTTTTGTTAAACGTTTTATCTTCTAGGCTCAAAAGTAATGGACTAATCTGTAATCTACAGTATTTCTATACTGTTTGCTTTATTCCTTGTGCTTTAGCTATTTGCCAAGATTTAGTGCCTAGGTTCTGCTGTTAGTACAACATATTTCTGTAGGTTGGAGTAGGTTGGAGTTATAAAAATCTGTATTATGACATTTGTGAAATCTTGGATACCTTTCCAATTAAGCCATGTTGGTGTATCTTACATATGCACAAGAAGGGACTAAGCAGATGAAATGGAACAGCTGAAATGCATACCCCTTTTTTCAATGAAAAGGAAAAAATGAGGTGAAGGAATGTATATCTAAAATATAAAATATATCAAAATGAATCTGGGGAAGAAAATGTATGGGTGAAAACTTAGCTCTGCTAAAGAAAGTTGGGAGTTTGCAATCCACTTCAATGAAGCTGTGATTTAGCTCACTATGTATATTATGTGTAATTATTGCTTTTTTCTTTGCAGAGAGACCTGCTCACGTTTCTTAATTAAAGTCACTTTCCTATAGTTGAACTATGTTTTCAGGGGTGCTATGCCTGAAATTTAATGTATTGTATTTTGCCAATGATTAAACAAGGCCGAGCAAGTGCGATTTTTATTTTACTTGTCTATATATGTTTCTAATGATCATGCAGGCATCTATAATTTCCCGGAAAAAGGAAGCCAAGGCCGAAGAACTTCAGGCTGCTAAGGAAGAGATGTCAAACACTGAGAGGCAGATGCTACAGAAAACAAATCAGGCCCGTGAGTTAGAAGGCTCTGAAGTTCTGAAAGGCGATGAGGTATGCAAATTAACAGTGTATATGAGAAAGAGTACATTCCTAACAGATGGATCAATTCTTGTTAACTTACAATGTCCTTTTAACTTTACATTGTAGTAACTGTTTCTACAGTATCTTATCAATTTCTGTAGTATGGTGTCAAACTATACAGCCTCAGCATTGCAACAGCTTTGTTTTTGCTTTTCTTATGCACAATAAGCTGGACTTTGACCAGAAAGCATGTTTGAAGACTTTTTTGAAGGGCAGACGGTACAATGCTGTCCAGTGCTTTCAAATGCCTTCTAATATTTAGACCTGAAATCCTACATAATAGTTTGCAAAGTATATGAGTACTTAATGTTGATCTGTCTTAACGTTCCAGAGCTTTGAGCTAAAATAATGTTAATATCATCACAACGGGATGATGATGAATAACCTTGACAAACTTTAAAAGTCAACAAGACTAGTGGTAGGAACAGGATTTCAAGCGATAAGCCATGTAGATCAATTTTATTATTAGATGTACAATAAAAATCTACAATATTGCTAACTGTTCTTTGCGTGATACATGACTGTGAAGCGAAATTCCAGCAATTATCAGAAATGCAGTTAGTTCTATTGTATTTATTAGCTGCATAGGTTTTTACTCCAAAAATGTTTTCACAGACCCTCCTGAAGTTTACCTGTGAGACAGATTTTGACTAGCATAATCACCGTGGCTCTTGCAAAGTTTTATTTGAAGCTGTACTCATCAAAGCAACTTTTTCTTCGTCAAAACTTTGCAAAGAATAAGGCTGCTGGAGCTAGATAATGAAGTGTCAGCAAAATGAGTTGATCTTTCTTAAGACAATCATTTTTTTCTGTTTGGAAGAAGCCTGCTGAGTCTACTTACAGACAGAATTGCTAAAGCAGAGTACTTCAGCTGCATCATTCTTTGACTTAGTCTGTCTTTTTATTCTTTCACATATTCTCTTCATTTGCACTCCCATCATTTATTAAGACTTACACTCTTTGCTTTCTTTTTCTTTGCCTGTTTCTGTGCTTTTTTACATACTCCTCAACACAGGGAACACCCTTTTGTAAAAGGAACTCCCTTCCTGATCCTTTCCGAAAAGCCTGCTTCACAAAGATCAGTTTTCTCTTAAAGGGACCTTACTGAGTAAATTAAGCATGGAAATGTGTATGTATAGACTCTTGCATAACGGCTTCCTGTATAATATGGAAGACACATCACTCTTGTGCAGCTCTGTTCATACTGTCTTCCTTCTTGCTTTTCTCCCCTTCTGTAAATCGAGATGTAAATTACAGGTGGAAGCAATAACACAGAGACTTACTACCCAGGTTGTGTTTAGAACAATTAATCTCTCTCTTGACTCCAGTGAAATTACTCGTGTTAGCAAGGCTTCAATAAATCTTTGAAGAGTTAAGACTTTAGACTTTGATCTGTTACTTGTACCATGACATACAGTACATATTTATGGTGTTCCATAGGTGGTAGTAATAACAAAACCACTGGATTAGATTTCTCTCCACTACGAGCTTTTTAACCCCAGTGTGCACCTTGCTGGAGTCTTTGACAACTTTTTAAATAAAAAAATAAAAACAGAAAGCAGACGATACATGTTTCACGACACATAATGGGAAAGAAACGTCTAACTAATCAGCAGCAATGCATTAGAGAGACAGCGACATAGGTTTTACTTTATCTATCAGTGCACTGTAAAGTAAGAGATACTTCATATTGTGCCTACTCCTGATAGGGACAACTTGCTCTGATTCATGAACTGTTAGCTAATATAGTAATTCAAGGAGAGCAGGGTAGGAGGGAAAAGTGGTTACACAACCTAGTAAGAAGCTTGATAATGAAAAATTCAGATTCATTGTCTGACCCAAGGAAGTGGCTCAAAATGGCAAAAAAGGAAGAAGAGACCTGTTTTGAACAGAATCTACATTCCTTTTAACGAAGTACATTCTGCTTTTGACTTTTTAAATCTTTTAAAGTCTTTATTTTGAGGACTGCAGAATAACTAACTGAGCACTTTGAGCAAAACCATCTGCTTAAAATAAGAAGCGTTTGCCTTTTTGTAGAAAAGCATTTCCTGTTTTGTAAAATACTTTCTGTACATTGTCCCAAAGGAGACAATATTGAAAAACTAATGGCCTGTCCTTGTTTATTAATTATATTGTAGTAGTACTCACAGGCACTAGTGTAAAGAAGTAAGAGAATGTTTCTTGTGGCTAAAATTGTAGCAAAAAGGATTTGGATTCTTGATGATCTTGGTCACTTCGTTTTCAAAGGTCTCAGTTTGCCCCTCTGTAAAATGGGGACAGTGATGTTTAACTGTTTTGTAAATGTCTTGAGTTCTGCTGACAAAAATGCTGCATAGGAGCTCAGTACCATAATTTACTTATCCCCTGAAAGTACAATAGTAACGCATATTACAGAAACGGTCCTGCTTCAGAGTCTAGGTTATGAGAAGACAGGACTGAGAGATGAGACAAATGAGTTTGTGAGGCAGAGGTGTTGAAGCAAAAGTGAAGTGAACATGTTATCTTTCATCAGGAAAGTCTCAGTTCATCACTCACCTAGATAACCTTTCAATCTACGTTTGTTTCTAAGGTGATATGCTTTTGAATTTGTATTTTCTGGTTCACTGCTCTGTTACTCCAGCTTTGAGCCAATACCAAAGGAAATCTTGATAATGTAGTTCACTATTGTAATACATATGTTCGATGGGAAAAGAATGAGGTTGTACATTCAGCCTTTACTTTGCACTTTCTGACAACGAAGAGCTTCCTTCCAGTCTTTTGTTACAGTTGTGCACGTTTTTCATATAGTTCCTCCATTTTTCAAAAAGGAAGAAAGAAATGTTTTTAACAAAGACTTTTGCTATCTTAAGTTTAAAGCTGGCTTTTAGTCCTGCCACCATTAGCCTATCTAAATTCTAGAGTTAAATCCAAGAGTTATTTGTCTCCTATACCCAGCATTTCTCATCTTCTCTTTCTCTAGCCCTGCTGTATCCTCTTACATCATGGCACTCACAAGACTTGGCAATCAAAGAATTAATGCCTTCCTAGCTTGTGCTCCCATACCAGTATTTGGATCTCCAGTTGAGGTCCTCTTAGCACTTCATTCACCAAAAGGTCAATCCTGGCTTATGTTTTTAGGTGTTAGTGTTCTGCTTTCTTCTCTGATCATAAACAGGAATGTTACAGCATTCCTGTTGGTTCGAGAGGTTGTACAGCTAGATAGAAGAAACAGCAGGGAATAACCAGTTCATTCTACACCAAATACAAAATGACAGGAATAAATTGTCTGCTTCAAGGATTATGAAATCTTTTTAAGTACTTCAAACAAAAGTACAATGAACATGGGGCAAAGTTGGCAAGCTCCTACCTGCAGCTGTCAGATCCTGAAAATTGGGGCATCAAATGTTGACACTTAGAAGGCTAGATGATTCAATTACAAGTGATCCTAGGTAAAGCTATGATATTTTTAGCTTTTTACACAGCACATTGTACTTTTCAGAGTTCAATGTAGGGCCCCAAGAGCCTATGCTTTCCCAAGGTATCAGAGTAGAGTAGTATCCTAGCTGTGCTTACCTACAGTAGTTAAAATGAGTATTTTTTGAGACTGCAGTATAGAAAGCTCTATAAATTTGTTAACAGATAAGAGATTTGCATAATGGTTTACATAAGGGCTTAGTTTAATTTTTTCATGCAAATGCTCATCCATACCTCCCCCAAGTAAAACAATATTAAAAATATAGAGATTGATACACTTTGAAAACAGAAAACAAGAGTCTTATGCTATAGATCTTCTTGTCACTTTTTCTCTAAAACTGTCAAGTGAATCTGAATTCACCAGGAAACAAATACCTAGCACATAACTAAATAGGTGAATTTTTTAAAAAAGAATAGCTGCTGAAGAGCTGACAATTCAAACATTAAATAGTTTAAGCCAGGACCCAGGATATTATCACCTCAGTGTGCTACCTTTCCCTTTTCGTTAAGAGCCTGGGAACAGTTGTATTCCTTTCTGCCAGAAACTCCTCAAACAAGAAAACAGGAGAGTGGATTACAGTGGCGTTGCGAGAACAAAGAAGGCAAATCTATAGGATTCTTACAGAAGCCAGAAGCTTTTTACTGTAAGAAGTTAAGCATCATCGAGGCCAAATGTATGCAGTGATTCAGACATAAAATATAGCTTCACAGAACTGAATGCTCTTTCAGCCCCCACTGGCATGAATAAAACATTAATTTTATTGATCTGTGCATTTTCAGTGATAACTGAAAATGTTTTTTCATTAAAAATACTTTGATTGGTCAAAATTATTATTAATGGCTACATCAGTATTTCTTTCCTGCCCAGAAGCAAGCATGCCTAGAAGAGCTATCCTACTCACAGCTAATGAAGATTTTTCCTGATTAATCTGTCTATTGAGCAGACTGTAGGATACTTTCATTTCAGTAGACTGAGATAATACTGGTCTTATCTTTTAAAAGTTTGTCCTTCTGTAGATGAGTCATTAGTCTTATCCAGCAACGGCTGTAAGAGCTCAAATCTAGAGCATCTTAAAAAAGATTACTGAAAACTTCCCATGATCAGGAACTTATCCTAACTGAATGTTAATACTTTGAACAATATATATGTGTTAATTGGCCTAGCTAGAAGATTAAACATCTGCTCCTTAATCCTCAAAAGAGATACAGATACCTAAATAAAACCTTCTGTAATTATCCTGTTTATGTAAATAATTTTATTGACAAAACCGTTTATTTGGAAACTTCTTTAGATTTTGTATTTCAGAAAGATTGTTTTTTTACAATTAATACCTTATTTTCTGTAGTACTTTCATAGGAATAATATTTTGATTACTATAAAAATACAAATTAATACAGTAATCCACAAAACACTATTTTTAAAGATTGACACAAAAGTGAGGGATTAATCTGGGATTTGTTCTTTTCTGAAAACAAGCTTATTCAGTTTCTCTGTTAATTATAATCTTGGAATAAGAACCTTGTGAAACTTTCACATGAGGCAACTGTTAATTTTAAAGAAAAGAAATTAGGAGTTTATAGTGAAAGCATAGGACTGATGAAGCGTATGGTTAACATGCTTATGTTCTTTCCTGGAGGGGGGTAAACTACCAGACTCTGTATGGTCCTAGAGATGCCATTTTAATAGCTTTGATTCAGTTTTGTCATTTAGAATTATAATAGTACGTACTTACTTCACAGAAGTGTTGTAAGACTTAATCTGTTGGTATCACTTTCAGACTGTAATAAATGGAGAAGCATAAAGTGCTGGTGGATTTTTCAATAAAAATGGAACGTAATACAGGAAATCTGCCCAGGGATGCTTGATACCTGCATGCTTCAGGACAGTATATGACAGTATATGGTTTCATTTACTCTGTTTTGTAACCTACCTTCAAGCTTTTCATATTATAGTCACCCATAAAAATAGCCAAGTGGAAAAGCATAATATTTCTTTGCTTTCATATGGATAATTTTTATATCTCAGGGGGGATATATCTTTGACTGCTAACTCAGTGCCAGCATTTGGTTCTTGTCCAGTCATTTAATCTTTGAAGCTTAAATAACTGTTTGTGTTAAGTTGCTTGAGAAAGAAAAGCTTACTAGTGGACATAGCCTTGAATGGTACATTACTCTGGGTGCTGACAGATCCATGGGAATTCTGTAGGTTGAGCCAGCTGAGTTTCTACGCAGGAGCAGTTGACCTGGTCTATGGGAAAATGCTGTTGGTCAAAAATGGATTCCTTTTGGGTCATTAACTTGAAAGTGATATGGCTACACATAGTTACTCTTTTTTGAATTATCCATATTATTTAAAAGACCTTTTGCCACAGTAACATACCATATTTTGTACTATTTTAAGGGCTTAATTTTTCATCCACGTGTTGGTGGGAGCAGGAGATGTTTAAAGCTTCAGAAGCAATGCTTACACAAATGAAAACATTGGTATTTTACAACAAGCTTATTTATAATTTTTGGATACTTACGGATTCTCAGCTTTTAGGCTGGAGAAGCCTAATTTTACCGTAAGATCCTTCCGAGCTGCTGATTTAAGGGGAGTTAAATCTAATAACTCCAGCTCTGAATTTGGCCCTGGATCTAAAGAAGGCTTCACTCGGTGAGATTTTGAGGGGCTAATCTGTGCTGCATTTGGAGTAGATGAAATCTTTTGAAAATTTTGCCAAACTGTTGCTTCATTTTCTACAGATATTACCACTTTGCTACTGTTGTTTATATCTTGTTTTACCTTGTTTCCTGCAATAAAAGTTATGCGAAAACTTCAGTTTGCTTTTAAAAAGCTGGAGGTTGCAATGAAAGATAAATCATCTCCTAAAATGGGTAGGTTCCACTTGTCAATGTAAGCAGCTTGTAGATAGTTAGTTTTGGATGAAATTTTTATTATATAGTCCTAACTTAATCAGCTAAGAATAGAACATTAGTAGAATCAGTTCTTTAATCAACAAGATCTTTTGATTTCCATTGTAAGATACATTATGCTTTGAATATTGAATATGCAAATACTCTACCTCCCACTCGAGCTATTTTTCAAAATCCTAGAAGAGTAGCTGTAGAAGTGAGGAGAAGAATAGTTTACTTTCTGTCCTGGGATAAACTGACAGAAAATCACTCAGATTTGATAGCTGTATGTGGTCACATATGAAATAAGTTTCTTCCCTTACATCACTCTTTGCTATTCTACTGGTCTAATGAAATATCCCTGGAAGAACTCCGATGAGACAGAAAACTATGCTTGCCTTAAATTGTTGTCAGTTAAGTTAGAGGGAATATATTTATACTTCTATAGTCTCTTGAAAAATCACAGAAAACTTGGACTTGTCTAAGCAACACAAAAAATGTCTTTTGTGCTAAGAGAATATAGCTGAATTTGCTATGAAAAATAATTCATTGAATGCACCAATAATATAACAAAGACGGTATGACTGTAACGCTGCCTCTGCTGTGCAGGGCTGTGTCTTAGGTGACCTTGTCTATCCTTGTCCTAGGTAATACGCACAATGTAAAATGGTATTCCAAAGCCACACATAGTCCAATCTGCATAGAGCACATTGAGTAATTTGTGGGTTTGTTCTTTCACCAAAAACGTTTATAGCTTTTGGCTTTAAAAATAGTTCTGGAGCATAGCAAGAGAGAAGCAGCTTTGGCCTAGATATTGCACAGGATGGCAGATGAACAGGGTTGATTTCATTTTGGGCATTTTGCCCAGGACACTTTTTATAGAACATACAGTTACTCTGGGGGTTCTTAGGCTGTGGTCACATTGGTTTTTTGGATTTATTCTTCACAAGGGAGAGTCGCATAATTTTATAAAAAGGAACGTTTATGTAAATTTCAAAATATAAGTTATTTCATGTTGGAATTTCAAATTTCTATCCAGGGTAGTGGGATGTGAGCCTTCTCCCTGGGGCTGCCTGTTTTAGGCTCATTCTGCACATGCAAATCCCCTCCTTGATGAGGACCATTCCAAAGCCCATTCTTGCACTATTTACTCTTAATAGATTTTATTTGTTTTCCATCTCTGCATCTGAATACACTTTGTAGCTGTGACTGGCAATTGCCTCACATCTCATGTAAAATATAAGAAGAAGAGCTAAGCCTGTTTGACAGGTGGAAAAAAATAAGGCAAAAGAAAAATATTAGTTGTGTGTTTCAACACCTGGTATTTCAGATGTCTTTCAAATTGCACGCACAAGGATTTCAGATGCAAATTAGCAAAGGCTGTTGATCTTTAAGAATGCGAATTATTTTGCTTAGTTTTTAATAAAAAGGTAAATTCTCCATTACCTAGATTTTATGCCAAGTTTATTTATAGCAGTTCTCCACTTCTACGCAAGGACTCTACTTTTATTTTCCTGTTAAAAAGTTAGCCAATAATGTCATTCAGGTCTGCAAGCAGCATGGTAAGAGAACAATAAACTTTAACTATTGAGAACCACCATTTAAAAAACAATAATTTTTTCCCATGTGCTCTTCTCCTAATTTTTCTGCACTTTCTTATCATGCTTCTTGGTCTGCAGAGCTCTTAGGGGCTGGCACTGCTGATCTCCTGTTCTGCTACAAGTGCAAATTACTGTTACATTAACTTTTTTATTATCCATGATTCTCAGAACATTTTACAAACCCTAATTACATTTCCAACTGTCAAATGGGGGTGAGTGAGTAGAATTGAATCATCTCCCTATTACAAATGGGTGAGCTGAAACACAGAGCAAAGGAGCTGGTGTTTTTGTTCTCAAACAGCGAGGAAATGCAGAACTGAAAATAAATAGGCTCTGGGAATCCTGAATTCCAGTCCTCTGTTCTAAACGCTTAATCTTCAGTATGTAGGATAATTACATTGTTTATAGCAACGGTCTGTGGTAAGGCCATTTTTTGCCTTAAGTTAAATGACAGATATTTCTATTCCTTCTCATTCCAGTTCAAACACTATGTTAATAAGCTCCGGAGCAAAAACACATATTATAAAAAGAAGCGACTAGAAATAGCAGAAATTACAGCTGAGTATGGCATCCTCCAGAGGACAGAAGAACTTCTAAAACAGCGCCATGAGGCTATTCAGCAGCAGTTGGTAATTCAAGCATGTACCACTCCGGAGGTTCATCACTCCTGCTCCCCTGATAACTAGCTATGTAATGAGATGGGTGTTGTTTTGGTATTTTCTAATGTATTTCATCCTCAGCTCTCCTGCTGTCATTAGTAAAAGACTTACTGGGGCAAAAAATTTATTTCCGCCTATTGACTGTGCCAAGCTGCTGTATTTTCTGCGCAGCAATTGTTTGTTACAGGCTGTCATACATGTTCTGCTATTTCCTTTTAGACTGAGGGGTCTGACCCTGCTTTCTGAAGTCAATGGCAAATCTTCACTGACCTCAGTTAGAGCAGGACTGGATTCTTAAATTAGTTTCTGGTATCCACGTATATATTAAGGGCTTTTAAAATTACATTATTAACAGGAAGCAGGATTCAATTTACTGCTGCAAAATATATAGAAGTAGCACTTAAAAAAAAGACAGCGTGAGGAAAAAAAAAATTCTAACCTCAGAACGTTCAGAAGAAACTATATTTCACAGTAAGGGAAGGAAAAGACAGAATATTATGCCAAAATTTAAAACTAGATGGATGTTCTTTCTAACCCAGAACAGCAGGAAAAGGATTTCTGCTATGCATAACTGTAAGCATTCAGGGAACATACATGTATTCCAAATGCAAAGAGATTCCCTTTTTAGTCTACAACAATCTACTGCTACAGTATTTTCTTCTTATATCGGTATTTTTGTTATCAAAATATTTTTGTTACTCTATCAGTGTTATATGCCCATATTTTGCCTTTTTAAACACAGAAATACTTGTTCAGTTAAAAAATCAGATGAAAGTGTGAGGATACATAGGATAGACTTTGGAAAGGACTATCATATAGTTGCAAAGTTGCAAGGAATGATGTCATGCAATCTCAATAGGGCATTCATTGTCCAATTAAAAATATAACTAGAACTGCTGCCTGGGCACCAAGAAGCACCTAAGCAGTAAAGGATCAGGGCTTTTTCTTCCTGATTGTTACCCAGCTAGAAGGAACCTGGAAGTGTGTGGATGTGTGTTTTCACTTATGAAATTGTTATTTACAGCAGGATAACCAATATAGTCATCATCCCACAATAAAATCACAGCAGAGGTGAAGTTTCTCCATGAAGTGGCTACACGTGGTCACCGGTATATTCCTGTGCCAGTCTGACTTTTTCTGAACTATCTTATAGTAAAACTACCGAGCTTTAATTTCATAAAGTTCTTACAACCAGATAACTAGCATGCACTTTTTTTGCAAAGCTAGAAATATAGGTTTTTTGCCCCGGACATAGTGCCCTATCAGACTGTACACTGCTATTAAAGTCTACAAAGTGGTCCCGTCATAGTAGCAGTAGCTGTTACGAGACAAAACCTTTTCTTAAACATATGCTCGTCAAGGGTTTTTTGAGTATGATGGACATTGAGTTCATAGATACGTGTCTCTTTTAAGAATGAACGTTTTCCTTTTTAGCAAATTGTGGATGCTTAAGTCAACACACAGCTCTTAGTTTACAGAAATATCCTCTTTGCATACTTAATGAGCAAGTACTGCTAAACTGTACATTTACAATTAAATGTGAAGTTCTGCTAAAATTTGGTAAGATGGCATTACTATTACTATAATGAATACAGAACTTTTTTAGTTTAGCTTATTCAATTTATAAAATAATTACACAGTGCTTCTTCAGATTGAGCCCCTGTCCTTTACATGTTTAACTAATTCAGAACCTGACCTAAAGCCTACTTTACTTGGTGAAAACTTTCTGTTAATTTCATTGGGCATCAGATGACGAAATTATGATATTACAGAGAGTTGTTAATGTCCTACGATAGGAATTAAAGGAATAAAAGGAATTAGTTGTTGTGGCGGCTAGATTATTCATGACTTTTAAAATAAATTGATTACAGTACTTACCTTTTCAGCTTTCTTACAATATCTCAACTATATGAGAGAATTTGCCATGTTACTGGAGTAATGAACTCACATTTTGCATTTTTTGTGTATCTGCAGCAAGCTATCGAAGACAAGAAAGGTATTTCTGGATATAGCTACACCCAGGAGGAGTTGGAAAGAGTATCTGCAGTAAAAAGTGAAATGGATGAAATGAAAGGCCGAACACTAGATAGCATGTCTGAAATGGTGATCTTTTCCATAATTATTTTATTTCTGTAGTTTGAATGTTCAGTTCTTCAGACTATACGACCAAGTGTAATATTTTTGGGTGGGATTTTCATTTTGTTTTATGTATGCTTGCATGTAAATATATGTATATATGTATATAATAGTATATATCTGCAAAGGTAATCTGGAAAAAGTTTACTAAAATGTGCATTTCTTTTTATGTATGAAGAACAAATTTAGAATTAAAAAAAAAAAAATCCTATTTTCCTTCCCTTCAGAAATATCAGTGATATCAAGTCTTGCTTTCTTGTCTTTGGTTTTGACTTTTTTGTGATTTAGCAAGTGGTTTCCCATTTGTTCTTGCACAGTAATTGAAAGAGAGGAATGTTTTAAGTCTTTAATGTAGCCTTTTTCTAAGATGTTTGTAAAATACTGGAGCTGAGCATTTGATAAAAAGAATACTTAACGTTGTTGACTAAAGAGCTGAAGCGAATAGCTCTTCTTTTTATCTGTACCTAATTTTCAAATGTCCTTAGCTCTGTGATGTTTTAATTTAATTTATCACATAGCCATAGAGGCAAAATAGAAATTGAATTTCTAACTTGAAAACATCATAAAAGAGCAAAAAACAAAATAACAGTCTTTGAAAGTCATTAGGGCACTTCTAAAATAAAATGGTATAATTAAAACAGAATGATTCTCAAATAGAAAGTTGGATAGAATTTTAGTCTTCAGTACAAATACTGTAAAGTGTTTCTATTTGTTTTTAGCATTTTAAAACATTATTTAACTTACACAGGTTTTTTTCTTATGGCTCTGTTCCTTTCTGTCAGCCCATCTCTATGCAACTCCTTAATTTTTCCCAACTCACTAAGCTGCCCAGGTGTCTAGCATATAGGCTATCTGCTGGACTTCTCTGTGAAGTTTGCAGTTCAAACTATGGGAGCAGTTGTTGTCTATTTTGTTATAATGACACCACTGCTATATGGGCTCTTTCCCTTTATTAATTAAACCTGAACTTTTTTAATCACATATAGTTCCATCTTCTTTTGTCACATCTTTTTTCTCTTCATATTTTGACTTTCTTCTCTTTTCTTTTCACATTTCTAATAACATAAATGTACTACTAATATCATATTATTAATATCTATAATTTGTCCCTCTATCAGGTAAAAAAGCTGAATACTATGGTGGCAGATAAGAAGTCCAGCCTAGCTCCTGTTATCAAAGAACTGAGACAGTTGCGTCAGAAGTGCCAGGTTAGTAGAAGCACTTTAGGAATACTTTGGACAATGCTTCTTAATGAACTAGGCAGGCAGTAGGACAGACTTTGGGAAATAGTCCCATGTTTTCCTCTGCATATTTGTCCATACCCTCAAGGGTTATAGTTAACAGTAGGAGTTGACTGTATGTATAGGTACCATCTGTGTGTGTGTGTGTGTGTGTGTGTGTGTGTATGTATGTATATGTATGTATATGCCTTGCCATGGAGGTATTTGTGCCTTAAAAGGGAGGATATGTGCAATTTAGAAGCTGAGTTGAGACCATGTAGAAATTCAGGTCAGAAGGTGATTAACTTAAGTTTGATTCCATTTATCAGACCCCTAAATGCTTCAAATACTGCAAATCCTCAGTGTCTCATCAACTTTATGTAATTGCACACCTTGTTTGTGTGATGCTTTTTCTATTTTAAACTCAAAATAGAGTTATTTTGATGTATCGGTCCTTCCTTTCATTCTGGGTAAGTGATGTCAAAATCACAAATAAGCCTAACTTACAGATCTCTGTGGTGTTGTACAAGGACATAATCAACTCTAAAGGAAAGCTGGAAATAGCAGAATAGGTCAAATGTGATTTGCAATAGGCAATATGCAGGAGACTGGAATTATTAAAAGCTGACAGTGCAGGCACAAAATCAGGCTGAATATTTTGTCCTTTACTGTAAATTTTTAAAAATTGCTATACCAGGAGAAAATTTAAAGGATTATGGTTCAAAAATGTAGCAAAGGTATGTTCTAAATGGCTGATAGGTACTGGCTTGTTTGTTGCTCAGCACTGATCATCTCAGCTAAAGCTCTCCTTTTAAACTGAATCACAAATAGTATCTCATCCAAATAGTTGAACATAGTGATCTACCTTCTGTATCAGTCTGTAGGAATGACAGATTTATCCATTTGCTTTCAAAATTTTATACAGATCTCAAAATTAAGTCATTCAGGCCCACAGCTGCTGTAAGTTGGCTCATCCTCATAGTAGTAAATGAAGCTATCTGTTTATCTATCAGCTAAATTTCTAGCAAACTTATTTTTAATGGTTCAGTTTAAAGTGTTTCAACAAATGAAATCCAGTTAAGCTGTTTGTTGTGTACAGCTAGAAAGCTTGCTTTTCATAGGTAGCAAGTATAATAATCCTTTCTTAATCTCTAATTTTATAATTACCTTTCCTTTCTTCTTGCAAACACTACCCTATGGATGTGACTATAAAGAGGATATTTGCATGTTATGTTGTGGTGTATACAGCTGATCCTCCAGCATGCAAGTAAAGGCTAGTGGCTTCCCCATGTGTAATAATAGCCGTGTGCCTGCTTGGTTTATGTAAGTGCCTGTGAGTGTGCCAGTAGCTGAGGTTGATGTGTGAGACTGACAGGAACACAGTCTGCCTGGATGTCACATGTCAGTCAATTGAAGATTTCATTTACATATCCCTTTGTCCTTTTCACATAAGGAATTAACTCAAGAATGTGATGAAAAAAAAGTCCAGTACGACAGTTGTGCAGCAGGGTTAGAGAGCAATCGCTCTGCACTGGAACAGGTAAGGTGGTGGCTTGCTCATGTGTATTAATAAATGCTGTGCAACAAGTTATTAATTATGGCGTAGTCTTTTTCCTGCCTTCCCTCTGGATATGGAAAGTCCAAATTCACTTCAAGTGGAAATGAGTCCGTGGTGATCCATAACTACGCGAATCAATGTGCCTGAAGCTTCTCTACACTAGCTACAGTCCCAAACATCTTGTATTTTAATAGCAACAAGTGAACGCAGTGGTACGTCCAGTACATCCTGTGAAGTTCAGCTTTGATCAGTAAGAATGTTGTAAAAGATTTCTGCCAAAAATCCTGCTGACCTGTATAGTGTCTGTTAGGAAACGATTTGACAATAAAATGTTAAGGACTAATTTATCAAGACAAATCATGTGCGTTTAGCAGATTCATTAAATGAGCAACACCATTCTAACCAATAATTAATACACTCAAATTGATGGCAAGGATACTTCATTAAATTTAACTGTCTTGCATTCTTGAAAATTATCAACAAAAATACAATAGTTTTTAAAGAAATGCAAACGTATGTGGGGCTTGCCTGTATGTAGTTTATGTATTGCTGAACAATAGTGCTTTTAAGAAGGGATGTACCTAAGCCAGTGCAATCCTCTAATGTGGGTACAGATATACTACTATTAATATATTTATATGAATCTTCTTTATTTGTCTAGATCACCTCCTATGAATTTTGGCTTGATTTGATTTTCAAGGACTTGGCCACATAAGCAATACATTTCAAAATAAAAAAAGATGTGCATTTAAAGCGCAGGTGGATGGATATACAGATATTCTTTCTCTGCGCTAAAAGTTATTTGTATGGCTTAACACAAGTGAGATAAAAGAATCCACAGATAAAGCTAAGGTTAAGTAGACCTTCCATAAGAACTATTTTGCAATAGGTTTTTTCAAGCCTTTTTCCTTACTAGACAAACCTCAGTCATGCTCTAACACATGAGGACAAGCAAGTGCTCAAGCTGCACCTGACCGTCCGCAGCTACAGAACTTAGTTTTTTAGCTGGTGGTCTGAAAGTCACATGGTGACCCAGCTTTGGAGTTGACAACTTTTGTGTGACCTGGAGTACTTGAATTCTGTTTGGATTATCAGTTTTCTTGGTATGGACCATTTAGAGCTGGGGAACTTGAAAGGGAACACTAACCCATTATCTCCATACTCCCCAACGCAGTTATTGATTGCTAATTAACATATTACTAACATGACTGTAGCTTCTAACACACATTTCGCAGATGCATTCCGGGAAATGCTTATTCACAATTGTATTTAGCACTTTAAGATGTGCTTAGAAACAAGAATCTTGGCAGCATTTGTGAAGTGTCTGTTAGAAGTTAAAGTCATAGTAGTAAATGCCTGTTAACAATCAGTCAGCATTTCTAACTGAAACTGCAAATTTTTAAAAAATGACCTTTTTATTTATTACTTTTAAAGAGACTACTGTGAAGCCCAAATTGTATGAACATCTAAGAAACGAGCAACTCAGAATTATGCCTCTTTCTGTTATAGACTCTCATGGTTTATATAGTAACACAGGGCATCTACTGTACACCTTCAGTTATGATGTCCATTAAAATATTATTGTTGTACTACAGGAAGTGAAAGGACTTCTCGAGGAGTGTATTCAGGAAGAAAGCAACTACCATTATATTAACTGCATGAAGAGGGTAAGATCAGAAGAGAGACCAAATTGTTCTTGGTGAAATGAAATAGGAATTATAGTATATATTTTTAAAACAGTTGTGTATTTCTTCATAGAATATAGAAGTACAGCTGCAGCGTGCTAAAGAAGAAATGAAAACATACGTTTCCTCAGATCCACAGGAGAGACGAAAAGCAATTCGGTAAATATATTAGTGTGTTCTGTTTGTGTTAACTCAAAGGATTTTCATAAACTGAGATTGAAGTTAGGAATTTTCTCACTGGCATTGAAACTGAAGGAGTTCACCTGATAAATTTAGAAACACTATAATCTAAAAATAAGCATCTTGAATCCCAGTATGTACTGCTATAAACCTAAGAGTTCTCTCAGACATACCAAAAGATTTTTCCCTTCCTGCTGGAGATTATGGGCCCCAGATAGTGGCTGTTAACTTGCAGCTCACGTTGGCACAGACTCAGAGAAGCCGTGCTTCTGCTAGGTCCTGCAGGAAGTGTGGCTCTACCAGACCCAGTGACTCAGCCAGGTTTTCCCCAAGACTCCAGCATGCAGCAGTAGGAGGTCTACCACCTCTCAAAGAGAGCAACCATATGCTGCCCCCAGATTTTGGGCATTTTTTTTTGCAAATCTTCCACTGTTCTTTCAGGTATAATAGCTATCACCATAGCTGGTACAGGAATGGAGGACTGCATATACTTATCCTAAATGGATTTTGCTTTGCCTTTCTCACTGGAGATAGAATGAATACTGCACCATCCCGCTAACCCTCATCTTTGCACTCAATTTAATAGACTCCAGGATAAGGTCAATTGCTCCAGCCTGTGAGTTTTTTCAGGACTTCTTATCTTTACATGGTAGGAAGGGAAGCATAAGGGGTTATGAATTGAGCTGATGAACATTTTTGTGTAGTTTTCCATTTTAAATAATACAGTTCTGCCAAAGATTGAAGCATTTTCAGAGAACGGGATATTTTGGTTTAATTTTCTGTGCAAAGAAGTTTAAACATTATCATGTCTCATAGACTTTTACACTTCAGTACATATTAAATATTTAAATAAAAGTATCCTGTTTAAAATGGTATATATATTCAATCTTTTAATTCAATATAAAAGTTAAAACATAATTCAGGCAATAAAGGCAACAAAATGGTTCAGCCCTACCAAAATTAAACATGAGAAGAATCCAAAATCAAATATTTTGTAACTTTTATTTAGTAAAAGTGTCAAAATATCTTTTTATTCTTATTCATAATTACTTTTTTTAAAATACCAGAATTCTCCATGAAATAGAAATAGCGATTTCCAGTTGCTCTTATCTCTGACTAAAAAACATCTTAAATCCTAGCTCTCAATAAAATGAACAAGTTTAAATTATTGTCAGTAGTTTTACAATTTCATCTGTAGCTTTTACCCCCTGTCACTTGGCAGCCTTGAAAATAGTTATCCAAACATTAATTTTAAAATTAAGGTTTGCTAGGTTTGATAAAGAATCTGGTTTCTGGTTTTATTTTGAATGAATGAAATGAGTGAAAAACACTTGGAAGTTTTGAAAGTAAGATTGGGCATCTCTAAAAATGTAGTCGCTACAGTACCAAGGAATCCCTGCAGACAGAGTACACCATTTTTAAATCAGTGCTGAGAGGGCATCAGCTTTGCCTTCTGCCTCTCCATCTCACTACAGTCTGCATCAATGAGAATTCCTACAGTTTGTTTTATTGCTCGGACTGTAAAAAGCCACAGCAATATAGGTCTTGGATGTGAAGCCTCTTAGATTTCTGTATTTGTATTTCAGAGACATGACAGATTGATGCTTGAGATCTTTATAATCTGTCATGTCAGAGTTGTGGTTCATGTACAGTCTTCTGCATAAGTTGCCAAAATGCTTCCGAAAATTGTCCCATTCATAAAACTCAATTTAAAAACATGATTGAGTGGCAAAGCAAAGACAGAACTGTTTGATTTGTTTGATTAGATAAAATAGTAAGCATTCTACATTTCATTTTAAAACTCCAGACAATCTAGCTGCTGAAGTCGCATCACAAAAGAGAACCAGCAGTTGTCTATCACTTCTCAAAGGAGATTGAAGAACAAATTCATTTCCCAGGATATCTGTCCTCTTAGAGTCTGCCTTTGGGAATAATGTCTGGGCCTTTCTATTGCAGTGATGTCAACTAGGGAAGCAACAGTTAAGTCGGTAGTAAACATAGTCAAATGTCATTCACCTGAAGCAATTTCTTCACTCATTGTGGGGTGAAAAAAGGCCACTAGGATTGACCACTTTTGACCATAATTGATCACTAAGATGTTATGGGCTCTGGAATGGGGCCATTGGTAGGGATAGCGACATGTCAGACAGCGAGTGAGAAAACTCCAAGGGTTCCCTCAAGAGACACTGAGAGCTGAGGTCTTTCCTCTATCAGATCTCCTATGCCAGAACACGAGGCAGAGAGCCCTAGAAGATGAAGGGCTAGATGAATATCCATTACAGCTACCTTCTGCAAGGATCTGAGGCATGAAAATGCCTTCCGTAGCATGGATGTAGTTTAAAATTATCTTTAGGAAGAAGCATAGTGCATGACTGAACGATGTTGGAAAAGTAAGAGTAAGAGAAGAATTAAAACTAATAACATGCAAGGGCGGGAGAAGAAAAGGATATGACTGGAGGCTAAGAAGCCTCTTACTCCATCTCACAAAATAACAGAAGGCTGAAGGATGTAGAAGATTTATCTAATAAAAATGGGTAAAACAGCAAAATAAAGGGAAGGGTAAAAAGAAAAGAGAAAAGCCTTTGAGAAAAAGCCTAGTGATGACGTGAATATTCATTAGTATGAAAGGCAGCACAGCTCAGCCAAGCAGCTGAGAGGAAATGCAGGTCACGCAGCAGGCACTGTCCTTTTATGGCCTTGCAGGGAAGAGGAGGGTCTGAGTTCCTACACAGATGCTAAGCAAAAATTTCTCCAACTCAAGTACTTGTGAAGTGAACATCCACAATGTGAATTACACACAGACAAGCTGTCAGAGGCAAATGCTGGAACTGAAGTGTGAGTCCAGCTATGTAATTCCAGGTATGGTGAGGAGAATGTGAATGGAGCATTACCGCTTTTTCCATTGTCCCTGCCTCACTTGCTAACTGTGAGCACCAAAGCACCCCCTCTCTGTGACTATGCACATCTTGGCCTTCTGTAAGATGTCGCAGAACAGTCACGTTTAAATGAATTAATAACAAAGTTCAATATCCAGATCTTTACAAAAAATAAAATGAGGAGATAAAATTATTTCTAGACATCCTTTCAGAATGTGTATGTATTTTTCAGCAGGCACTGGAATGTAAACGGAGCAAAAATGAGCCATAAATAGAACAGCACTTTCCTAATAGCGTATTGAACAAAAAATGTCTTAATTCCGACCCTCTTTATTGAACATAAACTCTCTGTTCTGTGCAGTCATTTCTTAGGAATGCGAACAGTTAATTTTGTTCTCTAAAAATAGAAAGTTTTTTTTTTTTTAATTAAGTTATTAAGTTGCATTTTTTCCAGTCATCATTATAAATAGTAAAGATAAACTTACAGGAAAGACATCTAATTTTCTGATGCTTATTTTGAAAACTGTGCTTGAAAAAAAAAAAAGTATGTTCTTGAGGCCAAATGTGTGTGAACATATACAGTGTGCCAGTGGGAAATCAGAAGATTCAATGTGGCTTTCCATCTCTCTCTGACTTGGTGAGGATTGCTAGGGATCAGCTGTGCCGGCCTCGCACTTGGAGCAGCCTCAGGACTGCTCTGCTTTGTACTGACTAGCATCATCCACGATCAACAGATCATTAAATGACCCAGCCGCATTCCTTGCACATCCATTCTGGGGAGAGTATGGCAGGCAGGACCAGGTGGCATGGGGCCCAAGTGCTCCAGGTCAAAGGCTGGAGTACCCAGTAGAAATGGGAGAAATAGTAGAAACATGATGCTCCAGTTCTCTTTCTGTGCTGCTGCTCACTATACCCTAGCAAGCCTTCACACTCTGGCTGATGAAGGCTGATATTTCTTTATGGAAATTTAGATTTCTCTATGCAAAGTTCTTCTGTCCTGAGTAATTTGCAAAGTTCTTTTGATGATTTTGGTTTTCACTAGCAATCAAACTCTCAATCTCTTAAGTTTACCTGTTACACACAAAATGTAATACTTGATTTCATAAAAAAGAATGAGCGAAGATTTTTTTTGTTGTCACATTTCGAAAAAGTTAAAAATAAGTGTAGAAATATATCTCAATTGTGCTGTTATGATTTGCATATTATATTGCAGGTTTCATGTATTGAGTTTGGATAGGTCAGAAAGTAATCCCTCCACTTGTTGCAGACAAAAGTGTACAGCAAAGATTTTTAATAATGAATGTCAACAGTTATGCTTCTAAGTCTATATTTAGGCACCTAAATTTGAAGCCTGGTTTTTGAAAGTGCTGAACGCACAATGGTCCCATTGCAGTAACTGGATTTGTCAAAGCTGAGGTGAAATACTACTCCCCCTCGTTCCTGTATTTTCCCACCCATTGTAATGCTACATTCGTAGCCATTAAGGGCTGTGGATTTGTATACTCTGACATTTGTACAAATACAGGGTACTGGATAACCTCAGAATATCATCAGCATAAATGCCTTATTAAAAAGGGATCAGAGATGTCTTGCCTAAATGGTCTTGCTGTCGTCCTCAAGCTGGAAGCAGCAGTAATCATACTTGCTTTGAAAATGTAAGAGATCTTAGCAGTGACACTTTTGCTAACTGCGTAACTGAATCAAGGACATCTGATCCCTGGTGTCAGGCAATATGTTGTCCAATGACAAAAAAGTTTCTCCGTGCTTCCTCTTCTGACTGTCCCATTTATGAACCTCCCAATACTTTCATAATTTTCCGGGCTTGCATCATTATTCTGTCCTATCACTTAGAAATAATTACAATCATAATAAAAATATGTTTCTTTTAGAGAGCAGTATACACGAATGATTCTTGAACAAGAAAACCTTGGGAAGGTAAGAATGAGGTTTTTACCTTGTAAAAGCGTTACACAGTTCATATATTTGTGGGTCTTATTACAGAATGCTGTGGTCAGTCTTTTATAAAAAGCATATTGCAGTCCACAAAGAAAATTCCATTACTGCTGGCATTGGTAACTAATACCCTGAGAAGAGATCATGCTAGCTCTTCAGGGCTTGATTTCCTACAGAGTATAGCATGAGCTGCTTGTAAAAGATAGTCAAATAGCTTAACTTGACAGCACATTCCCTGTAAACCATTTGGATAAGAAACTGAAACGTGGATATAACAAACTGTGCCAGCTCAAATTTTAAGTTGTATATAAAGCAACCTGTTGAAGACAATAAATTGTCAACCTGTCAGACTTATCACTGTTATTAAAGGCCAGGGGATCATCAGTGTAGCAGTGTTAAACAAAAGCAGTTGTCCATTTTTAATCTTGCATGAATCTCACATCAGCACGGAGGAGGTTAACCTTACTAATTCACACTCAACATCTTTCCTTTATTAGTTTTCTTTTTATGAGTCAGTCTGCGAGTGATTTTTACACATTTGAGCTGCCACTATTAATGATTAATAGTGGGTTACATCATAAAACATTAATTTCATGTTTATAATATGATGATGTGAACCCACTGTGGTCTGCAACTTGACACTGCAAGAGCTCTGTGTGGCAATGAACTCACATTTTTAGCGTAACTTCCCAAATGGATGAGACTATTATTTAGAGCTTTAAAACACTGAAACAATTGTCAGTCCACACAAAGCACATATCTAAGACCACAGATGTTATTGTATTTACCACTTGCAAAGTGTCTTACTAGCTTAAACCAAAGGTAATAATATTTCAGTGGGAAAGAAAAATCTTTGTCATTCTTAGCTGCCTATGTAAGCAACTTTTGTGGTGTAAAATTGTTCAAGAAATCTAATGTTTTTTGTATTTGTAACAGAAATTACGAGAGAAGCAAAAAGTTGTACGGGAAAGTCACGGGCCAAATATGAAGCAAGTTAAAATGTGGCAGGATTTTGAGCAGTTAATGGAATGTAAGAGCGAATGTTTTCTAAAGCAACAAAATCAAACAGCCATTGGTCAAGTCATTCAGGAAGGAGGTAAAGATAGGCTTGTATTATGAATTCTTTCTTCTTTATACCAGCATAAAGCAGGAAAACAGTGTGTTGGTGTCTTAAAGGTAATCTCATACTGAATATCGTTGCTTTCATCATTTCTGCATAAATTCTTTGCAAGTTATTTGGTTTTAGTGCATAAACAAAGAGGGAAACTAACCACTATACGAAGCTATACTGGGTCCATTGTTTAGGTGACAACATAACATGGTTAGGAAGATCTGTTATGAGATCTGCACTAGGGTGAAGCTTGTCGTAAATCTTTGTTTTATGAGTCTGGGAATGGCATGCATCTGCAGCGAGATCAAAGGAAAAGAAATCCTTTTCCAGGGTCACAGAAAACTTACGTAATTGCCCGGCTCCTTATTCTGAATCACTAAGGTTACATTTTTGCAACGCCTGGGACTGGATATTGTATAGTTGTGGACCTCCTGGCTTGGCCGTCTCCTTCCCCATTGTCTTTATTCATCTACTGTGACTGGCAAGAATGGAGCCACTCTCACTCGGAGCTGCACAGACCTTACCTGCACACTCCTAGTCATACTTTCCTTGCACGGTTGAATTAAACTGATTGTGCTTGCAGGAGACACTTCATGCCTACAGCGTCAGGAGTAGGATCTGAGAACAATTACTTGGATTCTGAGTTTTTTCCATTATCTTTTGTTGTTTGTAGCAAATGTGGTTTTCTTACACATAAACCTTTTTCTAATTTCTCTTAGTTACCCATGTGAAAGTGTAAACTGTAGTCTGTTAAAGGCTTCCTCTAGGGAGGATATTTTGTGCTGTTTAGTCTGTGCAGCGTGATTCCAAAGTGATTACAGTTGCCCAAAAAGGGTCACCTCAGGGACGGAGGGTCATTGATGGCTGCAGATAGGGCCCAGTGGTTCTTGCATATGTTCAGGTATGCAGAACAAATAGATATGCAAGGCTCCCTTGTGCTCTGACTTTGACCTGCGAGCCACAAGCAACTTTCACTTTGCCCTACAAATTGCATCATGAGACCCAAAGCTGACCCAGGATAAGAGGAATGCAGATGAGGCTTGAAACTGTCTCTCACGCTTCATCATTTCTGATGAGCGCCTCTTAGCCACAGTCAAAGATCAGAAGCAGAGAGATAAGTCTGGGAGACCAAAATTCTTGCTGTTCTTCTTTACTCTCTTGGATTACTGAATTTCTAAATAGTTTTTTTTTTTTTCTGTTTTCCTGCCTAAGGTAGAATGGACTTAGTCACTTTCTGATCTTTCTGATGTAATTTGAACATAAAATATAATTTAGTTTTCTCTGATAACCTGAGATCTTTCGTTGTTTTCTTTATCAAGAGAGAGTATGGGAGTTACATAGTTCCTTGTTTGTTTTTGCATTAAATATATTTGTCAACAGAACTAAAATAAAATCTAATAACTATATTTTTACTGTATGGTATTCTTTTTTTTACATTTCTTAGGTAAAAGAAGTAGAAGATAAATTGTTTGTGGCTCCGCTTACTGGGCCATAGGAGAAAGAGTTTTAACAAACTCAGGGTCATTTAATGGAATTTCTCCCAGACGCTCCCCAAAGGGTTCAAAACTCCAGTGTATGCCTACGGAGTGCGTCCTGGGTCCATAGATTCCCAGGGCATCCTCATGTAAGCCTTCCCACACTGACAAACAGCTGAAGATAGTCTTTCTCGACAGCTGCACACTAATCTTTCCCAGGACAAGGAGAAGCAGCAAACTTTCCCCTACGCAGATTTTCATTGAGTGTGGCGGGAAGGTGGCTGTGTAGGACCCAGGCGCAGGTCGGGTTAGCTGGAGTGGGGAAGTGTGCTGCACTGCCACCATCTGCGGCTTCCATGCTTTGATTACTCTGCACGGCAAGAGGAGAATGGGCTTTAATAAGGCACTGAAAGGGGACCATAGCAATCTGACAGGGACAAGCTCAGGAAAATGGCGTGTGCAGACTATATAGTGAGGGGAAAGCTATCTCCAGAAATACTTAGAACTTCTCTCCCTGCTAGCCCAGTACTTGCCATTATCACACTATTTATCTCCATTGTACTGCAGCGCCTATTGAGCTGAAAAAGTTTATGGGAGTTACATACCTGGACTTTTGAAGGAGGGTTTTACGGAATACTAGTCAACAACAGTAAAATAACGCAGGCATCAACATATGCTGAGGGAGAGCGTGAGACGATCACCAGGAACGGGCATTTAGGTTACTTAGGAGTCAGTGCTGAAGGGACCCCTGTGGTCCAAAGCCACCAGAGGGGGCAGGAAGAAGAGTAAGAGTTATATACTTCAAGCCAAAACTTTCAACAACACCCTAAAAGCCCTATTTGACTAGACCGTACAGGCCAAGATTTAGTAAAGGGCTTAGCTTGCTGTCCAGGAAAAGGCAATGCTTTTGAAATTCATGGTAATGATGTAGAGTAAGATTGAGTATAATCATTTTCTGTTTTCCTGTTGAGAGTTACCCTAAAAATAGTTAGTTTTTCTTTCTTGTAAAAACAATTTATTGCTAGTTACTCAGAGATGACGTGATTGTTGCTCTGATCTTAGTACGCTGTCATTCGTACTGCACCAAGAAAGGGCACACAGATTATACAGTACAGCAGCATCAAAATGACTTTCTGCAATGAAGCAGAAAATCATAATAACTGTTATGAAAAGAAAATTGGAAAAACTCAAAAGCTATTTTTAGCTTTTATGTAAGTGGACATTTAATAATGCAACTTTAATGGATTCTGCTCACTGGCTTTTCCACCCAGTTACTGATTTGATGGGAGCATTCAAAAATTTTGGACTCCGTTTGGCAGTTGTTTCTTTACCTCCTAATTTCCAACAACAAAATAGCTTGCTTGTTTTTTTTTTGCTTTGTTGTTTTTAATAGTCTAGATGGTTAATTAATAAGATTAAACATGCCATGTGGAAAATACCTGCCTGTGGAAAATACCTTCTGAAGGTTCAAAAAAACCAAAAATATGCATAGTTAAATTTGGGGCCCCAGCACTTACCCAATTCCTTCCAGTTGGAACACTGATCCATGAGCAACAGCTTGCTTTGTTTCAAAAGGTTTCTCCTTGTCTTTACCCAGAATTGGATGAGGAAATACTCCAGCTATAAAAACTACTGTAGTGTTCCCAGCTTTGTGTTATTTAGTCATGTTGACTTCAGCTGTCCTTCTTAGAGCGACAAGAAAGTTCCAGAGGGAGGTAAGAGATGAAATCAGCTATTCGTATTAGAAATGGGCATGAGAAAACAGTACATCTTGCTTGTAATACGACCCGTCATTTTATCATTTGGATATCAGATTATATTGTTTCTATTAGCAGTACCATTTTACTCCCATTTGAACTATAATAAATGTTCTCAGATTTCCTCAGGTAACCCAAATCTGTAAATACTTACATCTTTACTCACCTGACTATTACTATTGATGAAGTCATATGCATATAGTTGCCTACAATCATAAAAGTTTGGCCCTCTTATTTTATTATGTTTAAATATACTCTGATTTCCAGAGCTGTCTTAGTAAGTCATTTCTGTTGCTATGATGCTGATCATTATTGTAAAACACAATACAGCAAAAGTATTTAGCAACAGTTCAGTGCCTAAAAAACGTCCTTACAATGAAGATGTTCTGAGTAATGAGATTGGATAGTACAGCACCCAATAAGCAATGTAAAAATTGTTCTCCAAATGACTGGCTGGTTCAGGGGCTGGAAATGGAGTACAGAGCTTTTCCTCCTTACATCACTAGTTCATGTCTGACCCAGTTCAACGGTGACTGTAAGTTCACTACTAACTGCCTGATGGCTGTCCTCAGCAGATGATCTACGCAGAACGATTTGGCAGTATCAGTCCAGTTCCAAAATCACCAGTCCACTGGCAGCATTCAGCAGCTTCCACATGAAAGCAGACCTATGACTAAAAAGACCGTGGGGGCTGAGTGCTGTCACCCGAAAGGTGTCACCTTGGGAAGAAGGTTAGGGCGCATTGACACAGGGGGGGTTTGGGATCCTGCATCTCTGCTGTGGATGAAGAGAGCGCTGATGCCTGCAGATCTGGTTTTGCTCATCAGCCCTCTATTTGCTCAGATTTAAGTGAAAAAAAAAAAAAAAAAAAAAAAAAAA